CTTTGCGCCTTTCCTGGAGCTCACTTGGTAGCCCAGGCTGGCCTCGAACTCACAGAGATCTGCCTGGCTCTGCCTCCCGAGTGCTGGGATTAAAGGCAGGCGCCACCACCGCCCGGCTTGAGGGATTTCCATTCAACAGGTACAGATAGGCTCTGGATTCTGAAAGAGTGGTTTGGCAAAGCCTGGCAGCTGAAGCCAGGGATAGCACCTTAGAGCACTTGACCAAAAGGCAAAGAAGACAGCCCAAGGAGAGCGTTAGGGCAGATGAAATGCCAGAATGCGGGGAGGGGCAGCCTGCTCCTTGTTTATCTTCATCTCTCCTCTCTGTGTCCAACCACGCCAAGCAGCTTGGAGGCAGAACGTCTTGCTCCTCTGTGTTTGTCTCTGGACCTCAGGCCTAGCCCAGTGTTCTGTGGGATACTGCCTTAATTTGACCACTGGACAAGTCTGGTCAGAGGCCAGCAGGGGGTTTGTCAGCAGTCCCCTCCCCCAAACTCACTTGCCCCCTTCTAGATGACCTCAACAGTCAATCTAGAAAGTATCATATTTACACCCATGGTTCCCGGTTTCCATGACCTTTCTCATTCAACAAGCATCTGTTATATTACTTGCTTATCCCTGTGCATGCAACCAGTTATGATCTTTCTGCCCAGAGTTTTTTATTTGATACAAAGTCTCGCTATGTTATATGACCTAGACTGGCCTAGTTCTTCCTTTTTTTTTTTTTTTTTTTTGAAAAAAATATTTTTCTATTTATATATGTATGTATATGCATGTTTGCAAGAGGCTAGAAGCAGACTTCAGATCCGCTGGAGCTAGAGTTATAGGCCATCATGACCTGCTGAATGTGGGTGCTGGGAACCAAACTTGGGTTCTCTGGAAAGCAACAAGTGTTTCTTACTGCTGAGTCAACTCCCCAGCCCCCTGGCTTTTGGTTGTTTGGTTGACTTGGAGACGGGGTCTCTCTGTAGCCCTGGCTGTCTTGAAACTCACTAGGTAGAACATGCTGTCCTGGAATTCACAGAGACCTGCTTGCCTCTGGATCTTTTTTTTTTTTTTTCTTGTTTGTTTGGTTTGTGTTTGTTTGGTTTGTTTTTGGTTGATTGGTTGAGTTTTTGGTGCTGGGCCTTGGGCAAGCTAGGTAAGGTCTTCCACTAAGTTATATGTCCAGCCCTGGTCTGATACTCTATGCACTTCAGTAGGATGACTTCAAACACCGGGAGCTGTCATGTCTCCTAGAATTTGATTTATGTGCTCTCTGTGGTAGGTCAGAAAGCCTATAAACTATAATAATAAATATGTCAGCACTGCTTCAAATGTGCCTTATGAATCTGCATACCAATGCTCTGAGCCCTAGAATCACACACACACACTGTTGTTTTGATACAGAGTCTCCCAATGTAGCCTTGGTTGGCCTCAAAGTCACAAAGATCCTTTGCCTCCTAAGTGCTGCAATTAAAGGTATGTTCCACTATGCCCATTTGTGCGTGTGTGTGTGTGTGTGTGTGTGTGTGTGTGTGTGTTTCATTTGTTTTTTTTTTTTAAATAAATTCTTATTTTTATTTTATGTGCATTGGTGTTTTGCCTGTGTGTATGTCTGTGTGAGGGTTTCAGATCCCCTGGAACTGTACTTATAGATAGTTGTGAGCTGCAACTTGGGTGCTGGGAATTGAACATGGGTCCTCTGGAAGAGCAGTCAGTGCTCTTAACCATGGAGCCATCTTTCCAGCCCCTTGTTTGTTTGTTTTTGAGACAGGGCTTCTCTGTGTAGCCCCAGTTGTCCTGGAACTCACTATGTAGACCAAGCTGGCCAAGAGATCATCCTGCCTCTGCCTCTTGAGTGCCTGGGGTTAAAGGTGTGTGCCACCAATGCCTGACCCCCAAAACCCACTTTTAACAATAAGGAGCTGAGATTTGGAACTTTCTGCTGAGAATGTGAATTCAGTCTGTTGATCTGCAATGCCCATGCCTATGAACATGAGTAGCCACAGCCTTCTGTTACTGCCCCAGAGAGAGGTGTCACTTTAACTTACTCCAGGCCCACCGAAGGATGAACTCCTGAGCAAACAGGTCCAAATCATCATCACCAAATATTTATCTGTAATCCCTATAAACAGACATTGAAACTTCCCTTCCCCCCTTTAAGAACTTTATTGGGCCAAGTCATTGAAGGAGCTACTTAAGGACAAGTGGTTGTAATGGAGGAGGAAGATGCCTAGTCACCCCTTTTCAGAGGCTCTGGACCCTTGCCCACAGCTAGGCACGGGGCAAAGCCCTAGGTTTACAAGGGAACCAAAGTCCTGGAGTGTTTTATCAGTCAGAGGTTAAAGTTAATTATGGGCTTTGAATCCATGCCTTCAAGGAGATCCTCTGCAGCCACCACGTCTGGCTCTTCCATTCTTTACGACCCTTGCAAAGGTGCTGGACACTGTAAAAGTGCTGAGGGAGCAGTCATACTCAACTGTGGTGAATGACCACTCTGGGCTGGGCTACAAGCCCAGTGTCCTGTATATTCTGCCAGAGTCCACAATTTGGGTTTGTGCAGGCTCACCTCTGCCAGAATCCAGCCTTTTCTTTCAGTGAGCGGTGTTGAGCATTTGTTAAATTCTATTTCAAGACAAGTATAGTCGCTCATGCCTGTAATCCCAGGGCTGAATTAGATCAACTGTAGCAAGTTCCAGGAGAGCGTGACTATGGAGACCCTGTTTCAAAAAATAAACAGGATTGGCAAGGTAGCTCAGGGAAGGTGCTTGTCCCCATGCCTGGGAGCCATGCCTAATTTGATTTCTGGAGCCCACGTGGTGTAAGAACAGAATGAACTCCCTCAAGTTGTCCTCCGACCACACAAGGGCTTTGGCGCATGCATCCATACACACACAAATAAGCAAACAACTGTTAAAAAGAAAAAGTAATAAATTCTTCTTGGGCCTCATCTCTGACTCCGGATTCTCGAATGGCCATGTGGGCAGGTATATTCTACCTGGGTCCTCTGGTCCAGGAAACTGCAGATCTAAACACTCCCTGACCAGGGCATCCTAAAGCAGCCTGGCCTAGCAAGGCTACTCGGACTACAATTCCTAGCATGCCGCGCGGCCTACCACTCCCAGAGGGCCGCGGGGCAGCGGAGGCAGTGGCGCGCGCAGGACTGGCGGGGCTGGGCGGTGTCGGGCGCTCTGGGTCTGGGTTGCGCGGAGCCGCACGAGCTCAGAGGCTCGCCCTCTGCGGGGACGGGGCGGAAGGCGGTGCTGCGGGCCGGCACAGCCGGTGCGGGTGCGGGAGGTGGGCGGGGGTGGAGTGCGGCGCCGGTACAGACCCTACGAGGGCGCGGAGAGTGCCAGGCGTGCTGAGGCTCGGCTGTGTGCGCCCCGGGGCGGCCGATGCCCCCAGCGCTCCGCACTCCGCTGCCGCAACCGGGCCGCATCCTGACCGGGCGCCGCGCCGCGCAGCCGCAGCCGGGTGAGCCAAGGCGGGGACGGCGGCTTTCTGAGCGGGGGAACGTGCCAGGCCGAGCAGGGGGAGACGGCGGCACCGGCCGGGGCTGAGGGGCGCGCCCTCCCTCTCTGTCTCCCAGCCCTGCGCTCTGATGTCCTGGCTAGCTAGGGGCAGGTCGGTCCGCGGCCGCCCCTCCTGTCCTGTCTCCTGTCTCAGCGGACTTAGACCAGCTGGTGGCCTCTTTTCTGAGGGACTCCGGCAGGTCAGAGGGCTAAGGATCTCGGCGATCCTGCAGTAGCCTTCCACCCCTAGCTTAATGCTTTTCTCCAGAAGATGGTCT